GAGTTGTCCCATGTATTGCTCGAGAGGGCATTGGGCCTGTGGTAGGCCCTGCGAGAACACGCTCTGTGTGGGATCGGGGGCGTACCCCTGTCCGGGACGAGGAGCGACCACCTGGCCGGGATGGGAGGCGTGCCCCTGCCGGAGATGGTGGGCATACCCCTGGCCAGGATGGGGGGCGTACTCCTGGGCCACCAGATCCCCAGGAACGGGATTGGGGGTTCCCGAGGGATAATCCCAAGCCTGGGAGACAGCTGTCCCCTGAGCATAGCCCAGAGGCGGCTGGGCAAATTGTCCCCGAGTGTAGGGGCCCCCATTCTGGAGGCCAAAGTAGGGTGCTCCAGGATATGCGCCCGTTCCGGCGCTTCCCTGGAATTCTCCCTGGCCCTGACCGAAGCCTGGGCCAGGGAAAGTGCCCCACGTCGTTTGGCCCTCGTAAAGGCCCTGGGGAACATTCTCATCCAGAGAGTGTCCCTGGATTTGGGCGGGATGTGCCCTGGGTCCCTGATGTCCTCCCTCAGCCTGTGGGAGGACACCTGGGGTTTGCGCACCGGCCATCGACCAGTATTCGTTCTCCAGCTGCTGATGGTGGTAGGACAGCTGCTGGCTGTAGTAACGCTCCTGCTGGTCGTAGTAGGGCGCCTGCTCATAAGTCAACATTTTGCATCAACAAAGATGTCGCAAGAGCACATACCTGGGCATTGCTGTTGTCCTGGGCATTGGTATTGTCCTGGGCATTGGTGTTGCCCTGGGCATTGTTGTTGTAAGAGTCAACGATTTCTTGGAAGGACTCGATAGGCATTGTTTCGTTGGGGGTTTGTGTTTGTTGGTGGGTATACTTTGGGGTTTGAGAAACAAAGGCTTTCTGAAATTTGGGGCTGAAGCTAGAAAATCGTGGACTTGAGGCTTTTCTTGGTGTCGGAAGATTCAGTTTTCGAGAGCAGATGTTTGTTGGGAGTGATTGAAGCAGGATATTCTTCTTTTTATACTCTTGAGCCTTCATACTTCGCATTTGACTGTGGTAGACCAACAGCATCACGTTGCAATTCAAGTCTGGATAATCGTCTGTGTCGGAGTAACGGGTGGGAAGAGCCATGTTTGGACGTCAACAGCGCTACCGCCAACCAGAGATGGACCGGAGATGAACCAAAGATGGAGGCCAGAAGTATAGGTTTGGGAGTTGGTTCAGGCCTGAACCAGACTTTTGAGAGTTGAAAAGGTGGATTTGGAGTATGCTGGTGGGAAGAGGCTAGGACTCGAAAAGCAATCGTTGGCCAAAGTTTCGTGGGCCACAGCCGTCCCGTGAAGATGTTTCCCGAAAGGTTGCAAGATCACTGCATCTTCAGGATCGCGCGGCCGTCCAATTGCGGTGATTCACAAGCGACATACGGGCCGCTTCCCCCTATTCCCCGCAAAGTTGCGGACATGGCTGATCGTCGCTGACCATGCTCCTGTTCAGAATAGTTGTGCACTTCACACTGTTGGTCCACTCATCTCTAGACCACTTCGCTACCAGATTTTCTCTACGCGTGTCGTTTCGACGATGAACACAATAGCGACAGGAGAGAGCGTACTTAAATAGGCTCCATGGTTGTTTTTGTTCTCTAGAAATTGAGCAACACCCGGCAACTCCGCCGACAAACGGACCGAGTCGATACAGACCGGGAAACGTTCTTTGCCAGCGACACAGTCAGGATAAAGCGATACTAATGTGGTTGTATCTTTTCTGGTCCGACTTTCGCCTTGCGATCCATGGAACTGCGTGGGTGAGTGCCTGAAGAATTGGAATCGTGGATACCACGGCTCTGTCTGCACCGTCAGCGGATTGGCGAGTGGCAATGGAGGACTCCAGTGTACGGGGCATTGTCGTGTGACCAATCGTAAAAGCAAAGTTCAGCAAAGAGTTACAAATGGAAATTGACCGTGGTTTGGTAGGTCAATTGGTGTTGAGGATTCTGGTCTGGTCTGCGATGAGGCGAAAGGAACCCAAGTGCTGCGAGAGCGTGAAGAGGTCCGCGTGGATGGGCCGGAGTTGGACCGCTAAGCGAAACTTCATGAGGTGCCCTGCGGCGCTGTCACCCCAACGACTCACCACCTTGACACCTGTCTGACTGTAAGGTACTTACCTCGCCATTGACATGTGCTGATTCGGTCTATCAAAATTCAGAACTATGGTGCTCTACAGAAACCCAACCCAAGGCTCATTTTTCGGTTCTGAACAATCACACGGCTCCTTAGGTGTTGGCCAGGCAACACTTGGCGCGCGGCACCCAGGGCCCCAACACGCAACTCGCAATGTCAGATTCGAGCATAGACTGCAACATGGTGATGGAGCAAGAAGAAACCAAAAGCTTCAGGTCTCACAACTACAGCCGTTCAAGGTCCCTTTTCCCTCGACGCAACCCCCCCATATCTTGATCCATCAAGTCCGATTTCCCAGCCACGAACCCTTCTACTGCGCGAATCGCGAGCGCAGTCGTAAGACCTCTATGGCCAAGTTTGACGCCCGTCTTCCCGTCTATACAGAGGTAGCCCATTTGGAAAGAACCATCCTCAGCTTGCATCTCCAGCAGCTGGTCGACGTCCAGCTCGTTTCGCATTCCCATCAAATGACATGCCACAATACGCATTCCTAGCTCCAAGGCATCCCACCGCACGTTTATCCGTTCTCGTAGCCGCTCTCGTAGTAGCACCTCTGTGCGGCGGTGCATATCGGAACCGGGATTTTATGCCAGCAGACGCACAAGATGGTACAAGAACACGTCTGGGCTATGGTAGTTACGCGTTCCCTGCAAGTACCCGCGATTGAAGAGCACGTTGCGGAGAAAGTATTTTGTCGGCTTCACTTGGTCCTGGTTTCCGCGACCGTGTTGGTAGAAGAGTCTCAGTGCATTGATGCAGACGGTGGGATCCATCCGCGCTCGACCAGAATACAAGTATACCTTTTGGGCGCTCGTCAGTCTTGGATGTAATGTTAAGGGAGAGGGGGCCCTTGCCTTGATTATTCCATCGCCTGTCAATCCTTTTGGGGACAAGATTTCGTCCATGATCGAGTGCGCCATTCGGGGTCCAGGGGCAACAAGTGGTATGCATACGAAGTGGTGTCGACGTCATTTGGGAACCCTTTATCACTATCTAACCATGATCAGCAGTTCAATCGATCCCTCTATAAGAGCCCTGAAACTGACCAACAAAGTAGTTCCATGAACGTGGGGAGTAGTCCAGCTCGAAGAGGTCTCTGTCGCATAGCATCAGCTCTCCACTCCCAAGAACGGTCAAAGATTTCTCACAAGTCTCCAGTGACTTCGTAGGCAAGAAGTTGAGCAAAATTGTCGCGCACAACAACGCCACCATCAGTCTGAGCAGCTTGGGCGAGATTGATGGCGTTGTCGGTGGCGTCCAGCTGCAGAAGACGTCGCCGATGTCGAAGATGATGTTTTTGGGTTGTTTCGACAGCAATATCGTTTGTTTCGTACCGAGATCCTAGGAATAAATGTGACATGGACAATGACAAGTCAGCCAGCAAATGCCAGCAACACCTCTTGTACATGTACCCATCGCAAGTCTCGAATTTTCATCGTCAAATATCCACACTACTGAATTCAGATTTGCTTTCAAAACCCACAAGCTCCACAATTATCATTCTCCACAAAACGCGCGCGCGTGCGCCCGAGGCCTGGTGACAAAAGTCGTGGCACACACAACACTACGCGGAAGATAGACTGGGAGCATTGATACACGCGAATGGATTATCTACGTATCTATAGCGGACAGCAATAAAGGGCATTCAAGCACGCGACTAGATCATCTATGCGTCTATAGCGGCCAGTAACATGGAGCATTCAAGGCCCAGTCCGCGGGAACCCATACTTGGGTGTGCCACGTCTTTCGCACTGAGCATTGGTCCCCACGTCCAAAGCACGGCGGCGACGCCAAAAATCGCAGTGTTTGCCAAAAGTTGCCATATGTAGTTAGTTTGCAGACCGGATCTATCCGAATCAAGAACGCGCCGGCCGCTGCGGGTTCATGTTTCGATGCGCGCTCGACCACCAGTTCATGCGAGAATCGGGTAGATCTAGCAAAAGCAATTGAGAGTCGTGATTATCGTCCCGACCTGTCGCATTCATCCGCGGTGCGCTTTTTGGTGACGCACAGTCCGATCGGCACTTTGCGAGCTCAACAACCTGTCGATGCCTGCTAACAAACTGGTACGGTCGAGGCGGCCATGCCGTGGTGAGGCGCTGGAAGCTGACTCCCACTGGCTTCGCAGTTTGGCAGAGCGACCGACGACAGCCGCATCGCAACGTCTCGGAATGCAGTAGGCAACGGGTCCGCTTTCCTAGTTGTTGGGTCCAAGGGTCAATCCGATGGGTCGCAACGTCGCGCTAGGGAGAACCGGGGGACCATCAGTGGGGCGTGGCTCGACCGACTTTCACAGTGCGCTGGAAAAACTTTTGTTGGATTGAAGGACTTTGGTTTTTGGATTGCGTCTGTCCGTTGGGTGTGTTGCTGTTACTAGCGGAATAGACTGCTTGTTGGAGTGCGCAGTTGCGTGATCAAGGCTGAGTGCCCTTTTGCAAAAGTGGTACGGGCGTCCAAGTAAGGGCGGACCAGTCCCGGTCCAAAAATCGGCGCGACTATGGCTTTGTTGGACCCTCGTCCTGCAGCATCTACGTGCTACTCTCTCTCGATGACCTGCTCAACATCCCGAACAACTAGAAGGCCGCGCTGTCACAGCAGCAAGCAACATGCCAGCCCGCGTGGTCGCAAGCACTTCGACTGTCCACTTCATAGCCTTGGCCTCCATACACGCCGTAGCCGGTCCAGCAGTAGCCCGCTACCGCAGTATACCTGTGCAAAGAGAGAACCGACCGCGTCCGTGCGCAGGAGTCGAGATTTCCACCCCTCCGACACCAAAATGCTTCCGGACCACCCCCTGATCAAAACAACACCCCTCAACACCACCACGACCGTTCGAGATGGTCCAAAAGAGCAAAAAGAACTGCGTCGGCCGGGAATCGAACCCGGGGCTCATCGAGGTCGAAATCGGGACTTAAGGATGTATAACAACCGGCCTTCATATGGCAACGATGAATTTTACCACTAAACCACCAACGCGTTATACATTTTGACGTTGTTATTACAATATATAAAGTCAACAAAATGAGCAGCCGCCTGAAGATCGATTGATTGATTGATTGATTGATTGATTGATTGATTGATTGATTGATTGATTGATTGATTGATTGATTGTTTTACGTCTTGCTGGAGCCATAGGCTATCCAAGACGGAGCTATCTACAGGGGATCCTGCGTACGTTTGTAAGGTGAGTAGGGATTCATTTTGGTCCATGTTTGCAAGCCAAACACTGGTCAATGCGAAGTGACTGCTCAGCTTCGAAGGGTCGCAGATACTCGCAGATACTCAAGATGAGCGTGACGTTGAAGCAGCGATCCAGTTGGGAGAAGAAATTGTGAGATGTGATGGACGGTATTTGATTTTATTCGCGCCAAAGTCTGCACAATGATTAACATGAAGTTAGCTTGACAAATTGGTGCAATCGGGACGGAGGAGATGCGGTCCAAATAAACTTCTGCAAACATTCTGCAACTGTTTCCAGAGAAGACAGAGCACATTCAACCCATTGAAATGACGACCTCACGTGTTGGCGTGGTGCGTTCGTGGAGGGTATTACATTGGCAACGGAGCTAGTTCTGGCGCCGAAGGATGACTGCATCACCGCCAAACTGTCTCGAGGCGCAATCGAGAAGATGGACATATTTCCCAGGCTGCATGAGCCTTGCGTGCTAATATCGTCTTCACTGTCGCAGTCGTGACCTCAAGTCAAAATGACTGCCCCACTGCTAGACGTGCAATCGCTGACCGATCTCTTTCCTCGCGACCCGCGAGGGCTGGAATACAGCATCGCATACGTGTATGCGGCGGCGGCACTGCTTGCTTTTGCAGCCGAGAAACGCATCGCCGACCTCTGGCAACAAATCGCAGCTGCGCATGCAGGAAACGCAGCGGCGCAAGCAACGGCGGCGCGGCGCGTTCGAGAAGCACTGTTGAAAGCGACTCCACTGATTGGCTTTCCTCGAGTGAGTCTGTTCATGTAATGGATTTGGCCGGGAAAACGTCTCACAGCAACAGGGCATCAACGGCCTCGCCATCCTCCGCACCGCCGTTCAGAGCACCTCTCCACGCATCGCAGCAGAAATCGAAAAGGATCAAGACGCGCCCGACGATGTCCCAGCTGCCAAGCGCCAGAAGCGAGGAAAAGAGTTCTTTCGTCGACTATATGCGCAACACACGGAGCGCGTGCTACAAAACCTCAACATTTCGTCCGGCGGGATACTTGGAGACGTTGCGGTTACGTGCGTATACGGGGATCTGATGGCGGACGAGCGGGTTCTGAATGCCAAAGAGAGCGCGCTGATGGAGTTTGTCTGCTGTTATGCCGTCTCGGCAGCGCCACAAGCCAAAGGGTAAGATGTAACATCCGCTGGCGTCTTCCTGTTACTGACGATGGACAGCCATATGTACGGTGCGCGCAACATGGGAAACTCGGGCGTCGAAATTTGCGCTGCCACCAGACTGGTGTCGCGTATCGCAGAGGTTTCGCAATTGAAGTTTGATGTGGAGGGAATGGACTTTGTAGAGAAGGTTAGAGCATGGTAGACTTGCGGATAGACGTACTTCGGGTAAGACCGTTTGTTGTTGGTTTGGCATTGCTATGGCAACTCTACAGGCCTTGTCCGATGATGATTACACAGCAGATTCAAACAGTGCGGTGATCGACGCATGGAAGTGGAAACGGTAAAAGGTTGAAGCGATCTTTCAAGATACTGCAGCCAAGACGCAAAGCGGGGAAGCTCTATCAATTAAGCAAGGGTTGGTCGCCGCACAAGTAAATTCGGACGAATGGGGCATTTTGGTGAGCAAATTTCCGGAATCAATTGCTGTAACAGCTTTCAGAGGGGAGCTCAGGTAACGGAGCATTTCCCAAAACAACCACGGCGAAAGAATACTTGGCCCTCAACGGCGGCGGCTGTTTACCCGCAACCTGCCTGAGCCGCTGGACGATAAGTGACAAGGATGTCATCCGTCTTACACGGCATGCCCACGCTAGGCAGCTCACTACGATGATAGGTCGTCTACCCCATGCAAGGCAGCCAAGCAAATAATTGGCCGAACAGTTGATAAGTTTTCTATGGCCGCTCCCCCTTCCCATGTGCGGCTTAAGTCAAGCTAGCCTGGGTTGACCCTTTCCGACTTTCTGGTCGAGCATGCGTCTCTCCAACTTTTTCTATGTGGTTGGTGTTGGAGTGCCCGCGCTCGCCTGCGAAGGCTGCTATGGCCCGCAAAACGACGTGGTCATGACCCGCAAGGTCAAGCGGATGCAGCCCGATGCCAAAGAGGCTGCGAATCCGCCCAAGGGACCTCTCGAATGGGGTCAGATCAATTTCTTGCACACGACCGACACGCATGGCTGGCTTGAAGGCCACATCAAAGAGCAAAACTATGGCGCGGACTGGGGTGACTTTGTCTCGTTTGTTGCAGCCATGAAATGCCAGGCGCAAGAATATGGTGTTGACTTGCTTCTCATTGACACGGGTGTAAGAGCCAGCCCCCGACCCCTTGAATGCTTCCTAAGTTGAGACAGGATTTGCATGACGGCGCCGGTCTGTCAGATGCAACGGAACCCAATGGCCAGCTTTCGAATCCCATTTTCCAGAATATCGACTATGACTTGCTCACGATTGGAAACCACGAGCTCTACGTGACCGAGATTGCGTATGAGCATTTCAACCAATTCGCCAAGGTCTACGGGGATCGATACTTGACGTCCAATGTCCAGATACTGAACCCATCCAACGGCCAATTCGAATACCTCGGCAAGCAGTACCGGTACTTTACTACGGAGCACGGGGTCCGCATCATGGCCTTTGGGTTCCTTTTCGACTTTACTGGAAACTCCAACGTGTCCAAGGTCATCAAGGCCGACGACGTGCTCAAGGAGCAGTGGTTTCTGGACGCCCTGAATTTCGACCAACCAATCGACATGTTTGTGGTGATTGGGCACAATGCGGCGCGGACCACGGACAAGACCAGCACCATGGGCAAGTACTTTGGCGCCATTCGTGACAAGTATCCAGACACGCCTATCCAAGTGTTTGGCGGACACACTCACCAGCGAGATTTTGTCGTGTACGACAACAAGGCCACTGCTATTGAATCCGGACGGTATTGCGAGACTTTGGGCTGGGTGTCCATTACCGGCCTCGAGGATTCGGACGCGGAACAGCCATCAGACGTTCCCGCCCCTTGGCGTCCAGCAGAACTCGTCGAAGGCGCAGAGCGAGACAAGTCTCTGCCAGAATCGAAGACTCCTTCTTCGCTGCTCTACTCGCGAAGGTACCTCGACTGGAATCGTTTGACCTTTGCCTATCACGCCGACGGCAGCCAGGACACCGATTTCGACACGCAGCAAGGCAAAGCCGTGACGGCCACAATCACGGGAGCCCGCAGCCAACTGAACTTGACCCGGGTCATTGGCTGCGCTCCCATGACGTACTGCATCTTTTGCAAGGCTTTCGGAGCCGAAGGAAGCATCTACAAGCTGCTCGAAGAGGCTCTGAGCAAAGTCGTCGTTAACGAAACGCGCAAAGATACGCCTCGCATCATCCTCGCCAACAGTGGAACCATCCGGTTTGATCTTGTCCAAGGGCCATTTACCTACGATGATGCTTTTATCGTCAGCCCATTTCAAAACACTTTCAAATACATCCCCGACGTACCGTGGGACCAGGCCAAGACTATTCTTGACGCCATGAATGCTGGTCCTTATCAGAAGCGTTCGTTGGATCTTTCGCCGCGCGACCTTGGTTTCAACGCCCTCTCACTCGTCGACCAAGACGAATGTATCGATCCACCTTACGTTCACCAGGGCCTCAGGAAACGCGGCGAGCCCAACCGCCTCACGCGCCGTTCGGACTACGATCCCACTCCGGGATACGTGACCAAGGACGACTTTGGCGAAGACGGCGACGACACGCCGCACGTCAACATCACGGCGTATCCCATACCCAATGATGTGCAGGCGAACGCATCATTTCCGAGCGATGGAACGGAGCCGGACAAGGTGGATGTCGTCTACATCAGCTTTATCGAAAAATACGTAATTAGCGCGTTGGGCAAGGTCGGAGCAAAATACACCTCCAAAGATGCGTTGGCGTATCTTCCAGAGTCTTTCAAGAGCAATCAGGTTATTCCCAAGTTCGCGGAGTTGGAGTGGAAGGCGAACATCAACAACTGTCCGGTAGGCAAAGGCGTTGGGTTTGACAAAAGGAAGGCGTGATTTCGTTGGTGCCGAATCTGTGGATAGTGGGTGAGTAGTGAATGAATGTACAAGTAGATGGCGACGGCTGAGTTGTTGATGCACTGTGTCGTTTGATGGGAGCACAGTTAGCTAGCTGCCGCAGAATGCGGAACGCTTCCGCGAGAGTAGACGGAAGATCCAGTCCCTACCCAACCTGAAGCTCGATGACGCGATTACTCGAGACACCTCAACCGGTCTTCCACACTCTTCCGGCCGCCATTGCAACAGCTACACTTTCCAACCTCCTCTCTTTCGGTCTTTGCTCTCACACCGAGCGCGAATCCGACCTGTTTTAAAACATCTACTTCGCAGCGCACACGACACCCATTGGACGACACACTGAGTAGAGACCAACATGAGCACCACCAACCCAGACATCCACAAGCCAGGCACCGACGATGGCTGGCACGCCATGATCGCGCCAGGGAGCCAATTCCCGCCTGAAGCCGACCGCTACCACCTTTACATCGGCACGTCCATCCTCCCACAACCCATCACCTCCTCCCCCACTAACACACGACAGGTCTCTTCTGCCCATTCGCGCACCGCGCCAACCTAGTCCGACTCATCAAGCACCTGGACCAATTCATCGACGTATCAATCGTAGCGCCGTACCCCAAAGGCGACGCCAAAGGCTGGCCGGGCTGGCGTTTCCCCGCCAGCGATGACGAGTATCCCAACGCGACGGTCGACAAGCTGTTTGGCAGCAAGCACCTGCACGAGGTGTATTTCAAGG